TTAAATTGGCATGATGGAAAATCTTGATATCTGAATATATTTGAACCCTCATTTCGATTTTCATGAGCACATGTGGAATTTTGTTTGAATTAAATTGCCCATAATTTTCTGAGCGTGTCATTGCTAGAGCATGCCTTGAATGCAGAAGATAATGATGTTCGTATTTGATCTCTTATTTCTCGCGTGAAAAATGATAAAATGGATGACGTGAATATAATGTTGATAACGACATCTCTTTGAATTCTTGTCGAGGAACCCACGGGATGATGCAAGTCTTGAAAAATTATTGAGATAAATGTTCGAGTGTCGAGGACAAAGTAAGCGAGCACGAATCTACCATTGTGAGATGACAATGGGGGATAAGTTCTTATGGTGCTGATCATCGGTGGCAATCTCGAAGACAGAGATCAAGTCTCTTTTGGTGAGGTAGGATAATTCCCAGTGGTATTCTCGTTTAAGGTACACAATTAATCTCAACGCATTGAATTTCTTAGCACTCTTTCTTGAAGAAATGTGCACCATTCGAATATTTTGTGGGAGAATGTTGTTGGGATCATGGCTTACATGGATATGTTTCGAATCATTGTGTGGATAATTGACAAAATGCAGAAAAAGAGTCATATGCGAAACCTTGAAAAAAAAATCTGGCATGACGAAGGCCTTCGGGCTGACCAGTCTTGAGTCTCCACGACTAAGGAACTTGGTAGTAGGATGAACTCATTTGAATTTTCACTTGCTACATTCGTTTGATGATTGTAGGTTTATGCAGAGTATGCTTTGTCGAATTATTTATTCAACTCTTGGTTTTGTGAAATTCTGGTCTATCGTACATTCGAGTGAATATTTATATCCTTTATTATCGGGATAAAGAGCTTAATTATGGATTATGGTGTGATGTTTGATCGTTCTGATGCATCTATTGCCATTATTGCTATTCGAATCGTAAATTGAATGATATGAATAGACTACGACTCATGAACTTTTCTTGATATTTGCTGAGGAAAACACATGAACAGATGTACTAATATTTAGATACAGCATGGACTGCTTTGTTTAAATAAGGAATGCATAGCAGGGAATAACCGAGTGGATTCTCGACAAGGCTACGAAACCTACGACTACGAAGTCGACTTAAACAACTACGAAGTTGTAACTCGAGTGGATTCTCGACAAGGCTACGAAGCCTACGACTACGAAGTCGATTCAAACAACTATGAAGTTGTAACTCGAGTGGAATCTCGAATAGGCTACGAAGCCTACGACTACGAAGTCGACTTAAACAACTACGAAGTTGTAACTCGAGTGGATTCTCGACAAGGCTACGAAGCCTATGACTACGAAGTCGATTCAAACAACTATGAAGTTGTAACTCGAGTGGAATCTCGATTAGGCTTTGAAGCCTACGACTACGAAGTCGACTTAAACAACTACGGAGTTGTAACTCGAGTGGATTCTCGACAAGGCTACGAAGCCTATGACTACGAAGTCGACTTAAACAACTAAGAAGTTGTAACTCGAGTGGATTCTCAACAAGCCTACGAAGCCTATGACTATGAAGTCAATTCAAACAACTATGAAGTTGTAACTTGAGTGGAATCTCGAATAGGCTATGAAGCCTACGACTACGAAGTCGACTTAAACAACTACGAAGTTGTAACTCGAGTGGATTCTCGAATAGTCTACGAAGCCTACGACTACGAAGTCGACTTAAACAACTACGAAGTTGTAACTCGAGTGGATTCTCGACAAGGATACGAAGCCTTCGACTGCGAAGTCGACTTAAACAACTACGAAGTTATAACTCGAGTGAAATCTCGAATAGGCTACGAAGCCTACGACTACGAAGTCGACTTAAACAATTATGAAGTTGTAACATGAGTGGATTCTCGACAAGGCTACGAAGCCCTCGACTATGAAGTCGAACTAAACAACTATGAAGTTGTATGTCTCGAGTGGAATCTAGACAAGGCTACGAAGCCCTCGACTATGAAGTCGACCTAAACAGCTACGAAGTTGTAACTCTCGAGTGAAATCTCGACAATACTACGAAACCTTCGACTATGAAGTCGACCTATGCAACTACGAAATTGTATGTCTCGAGTGGAATCTCGACAAGATTACGAAGCCTTCGATTATGAAGTCGATCTTAACAACAAAGTTATAATTCACAAGTGAAATCTCGACGAGGCTACGAAGTCTTTGACTGTGAAGATGATCAAAACAATTACGAACTTATGTTTCTCGAGGTAGAATCTCGAAAAAACTATAAAGCCCACAACTACAAAATTCGGCTCAAATACTAACTACGAACAAGTCAAACTACAGTTACAATACTAGTCATATCGATAGAACGAACGTCAGTGCTCGACTTCGACCAGCTCGCAAGAAGGGTTGGGGAGAAGATGAGTTGAAAAACTTTTCGTTTATCAGCTATGAAGTTGTTAGAATAATTATTTTTCAACCTCAGAAACAGGTTGAGTATATTCATTATTGCTTGATTTTGTCCACCACGATTAAGGCCTCCGGGCTGGGTGGTCGAAGACAAAAAAAACCCACCATGACTAAGGCCTCCGGGTTGGGTGGTCCACCATGATTAAAACCCATCGAGTGAAGATGGTCGTATGTGTCGACCACCCCTCCGAGGGTGGGCATGCGTTCGAACATAGATAATCGATTGTTATCATATTTTGTTCGAGACGTGCACGCATGCATGGAGGTTTCACGCATGCAAGAGGATCACCTAGAAGCCGTGCGCAAGGCCCATCAAATGGAGCTACGACATCGAAGCTCCTTTTCCACTAATGCATTGAGGGTTAGAGACAGAATATCGACAAGAAGCGTGAGACCGATACCCGTTGGGGTTAAGCTGTTATCTTGGGACACGATGCAACGACTACGGTTCAGTCTATGCTTAATTGCGACGAAAAATTTGCATCGGGTCATAGGTGCAAGGGAAAACTGTGGTTTCTAATCGAGTTCATGGGATCTGATAAGGAATTACCAGAAGAAGAAGAGCAAAGTATGAAACTGTTCCACAGAAAGACGACCCAAAGATCTTAGTCCACGCGATGGCTATGACACAGGGATTGAAGACCATGAAGTTTCTGACATGAGTTCCAGATCGATGAGTGGTGGTACTGGTCGATAACGGCTTATCCTACAATTTCATTAACTCCGCCTTGTCCAAGAAAGTGAACCTACCAGTGACTCACTTGGAACCGTTTGACGTGAGAGTCACTTATGGGGAATGATTGAGGTGCTTTTAATTTCTTCGGGACGTGCCTATTAGATTGCAGGACGTAACCATAAGAGCAAACCTATATGCATTTCCGCTAGTAGACCGAGATGTGGTGTAGGGTGTTCAATGGCTAGAGAATATGGGTGTAGTGCCCTGTTCGATTAATAAGAGATAACTCATTTTATTTTATTCTTCGTGAGTGAATTGCATTTCTTTTAATTTGCTAGCTCGACTAAAATTTTTTATAAGCTTATTAAAATTTTTAGATGTCCCCATCTATTTAATATTTATAAGTAATTAATCTTATAAGCTATTTGTTATGTAGTAGTCCTCATCTACTTGAATTATCCCATTTTTGTTATTTCTTTTGTTAAGCTATTTCATCTTTTTTTTTTTTTTGTGTAACCTATTTTACCCTAAGGCTAAACCTTACCTTATTTATCTTAGTTGTTAATCCGGTTGTGCGAGAAAATCCTAGCCAATTTTCCTCATGATACTTTAGGGCTTTGTTGGCCTTCACAAGAAATTTTTCGACCAATTGATATTAATCTTAAGTTTACCTTTTAAGCTTATTTTGTAACTCCCTAAAACAAGTGAAAGACCCTTCTCCACACCAAGAGTTTTGGCCATCTCAAAGCAAAGCCCGCCAAAAATTCAAACTTGTGTAACCTCCCACTTAAAGCCTTCATTAATGCCCTTAAATCAAGCCAAATTGTTAACTTTTCCCTCATGTTAGTAACCAAGGAAAAGGCCTCCAAATAGGGAATTTATTACCAAAGAATTTGTCCAAGTTCATCCTCTTATTTTGAAACCCAAAATCTCATTCTCTCCTAAAATTCTTTCTCCCTCCCTCGGCTACACTATTGTCTTTTCAAGCAAAATCTCAATTTTTCTTCTCTCTCGATTTTTCTTCCTCCAAAAATTTGGTGATATCCTCTTTTACCGTCAAGTAACCGAGAGCTACAGTGATATCACGAGCCGTGGTGTTGAGGGTCATTGAGTGCCAGTCGAGGAGAACCAATTGTTAGTTTTATATACTAAAGTTTAGCTTTGGATGATATTATACTTTTACCCTTAATGAATGAGAATCATGTTTGATTAAACAAGTTCTATGTTCTGTTGTTTTGTAATTAGATAGAATGGGTCATCATCGGGCGAACCGAAGATCATTCTATCAGTTACTTGCGAAACAAGAATTAGTGGTTCACAACCTATTTATAAATGAACACCTCATCCGAACGGTTGTGTCAATAATACAATTGGTCTTGACTGATTAGTTGCACTAGTACATTTATGTATTGAACAGAATGCAAGAAAGGAGAAGTTCGTTTTTACTGATCGTCGTAAACGAATTATGCCTCTATTAATTATTGTGTCCTCTTAACTCGTAAGATATTAAACAGACATATATATGCAGTACATATCACTTAACAAACTCAATCGCAAACATGAAGGAAATCTAATCATCAAATCCTGCTTCGAAATCCTAGCCCAAATTCAATAAAAGAAGAATCAAAAGAAACGTATAGAGATTGTACCCACAAAATTGTTTACTCGAAATAAAATCAAATTGTATAAAAGTTTTATGGTTTTCATAAATTTCTTTGTTAAAAGTACACATCCAATTTTTAAAAAATATTTGACGAACTCAGTCCTATCTAATGATGTCATTGCTACAACACCAAACTGAATCCAATCATTAACCAACAAATATTACATAAAAATTCCAATACAAAAAGAAAGGCCATGGATTGGTGGTATCTCAGGCTACGACATCTAAATCGTCTGTTTCTCCATCAATTATTCCCTGCTCATCGCCTTCAATTTGGCCCATCTCTAGACCGACATCGTCTGAGCTGTGCTTTTGGTCCCCATCCCGCTGAGATGTGTTGCCAGACGCCGATGATGATGCAATTATCACATCATCAGTTGGACTTGGACCCTCTCCTCTACTCCCATCCACGTCTGTCTCGCTCCCACCTATTGCAATCTGTGACTTAAAACAAAAATGATATATATTACTACACATTTCTCTAAAAAAAATTACTATTTGCTCACTCTATTCATATTAACAAACATAAATTGTACATCACATAACAATTAATTATTATTGTTCATTTCATGTGATTCTCAAAAAAATTAGAGTTAATTATTCAAAAATCATCTTTCGATTTGAGAACATATTAACGGGCGCTACTCAATTCATTCCTTCAAATTACTCGGCTTAGCATCATCATAAGCCGTTGGGACCACATTGTCCAAATATTCACAACACATATACAAATACGAGATACAATGCACATCAATATGATCTCGCAATAATTATTGAATCAATCCATCAGTTTCCAAAACCATGTTCAAATCCAATCAACACAAGTTTTGAACATTAATAAGTTCAAGCGGAAGCAAATCATAATATAGTTCAAACAAATAAATGACCACCCTCGTCCTTTTGCCACGACCACCAGCTCAACCTGAAAAGATGAAAAATACTGGGGGGTTAGCAGGATACTACAGACATTTCACTGAGGGCTTCTCGAAGGTGGCTGAATCCCTAACCAATTTGACGAAGAAGGCGGCGAGATTCGTATGGAGTCCCAGTGCGAGGCGAGCTTCCGGGAGTTGAAGTCGAGGCTCACTACAACTCTATTGACCATTTCAAATCTGACCTTGAAGTTCACCATTTATAGTGACGCTTCGAAGTTGGGTTTGGGTTGTGTATTGATGCAGGAAGGGAAGGTCGTGGAGTATGCGTCGAGGTAGTTGAAGCATCACGAGATGAACTACCCTACACACGATCTGGAGTTAGCCGCAGTGGTCCATGCTTTGAAGATCTAGCGACACTACCTTTATGGAGGGAAATGTGAGTTAGTCACTGACCACCCTGAAGTATATCTTTACTTAGAAGGAGCTCAACATGCGGCAGAGGCGATGGTTGGAACTCGTCAAGAACTACGATTGCACGATTAGCTACCATCAGGGGAAGCTAATGTGGTCTTCGACGCTCTTAGTCGGAGGGGTCGCCGCGAGTTGACTAGCATGATTACTGACCGTGAGGAGTTAGTTCGAGAGTTTGCTCAGTTGGAGATGGAGCAGTGGAGTCGACTTCAAGAGCCACTGGTGTTTTCACAGCATTGGTTTTGGGCCGACTTTTCAGGAGAGAATCGTAGCCAAGCAACCGAACGATCGTTTCATGCGCCGGATGAGAAAATTGATGGAAGCCGGCAAGATTGGAGGATTCGTGGTCACATCAGATGGAGCCCTAGTCTTCGAGCAGAGGCTTTGTGTTTCGAAGGTGGCTGGGAAGGGAAATTTTGCAGGAGGCACATAATTCCTCATACGTCGTCCATCCCAGGAGTATGAAGATGTACCAAGATTTGAAGAGGTCCTTCTGGTAGGTGTTGATAAACTTCACTATGTGGTTATTCCTTATAATTGCTTGAATTTATGATCAATGTATGCGTGTGAACCAATAGTCTATGAGAATGATCTCCCGTTAATGATGATGCCGAAGATTATCCTATTTTTGCCTAAATGAGAGAGTTCTCCCGTTGATGGTAATGCCAACAGTACAAGTGTGCACATGAGTATAGGGCAGTATAAGAGATAGACTAGATGATTTATGTCCATGTTGCGATGGTGATTCCACAGTGAGCTAGTTGTTTGCTCACCCCATTATTTTCTATTTTTTCAGGTTGAGCTGACGGTCGTGGCAAAGGACGGACGAGGGTGGTGATTTAGTTGTATGAACTATGTTATGATTTGCTTCCGCTTGAACTTATTAATTTTCTAAACTTGTGTTCATTGATTTCAACATGGTTTTGGAAACTGATGGATTCATTCAATAATTATTGCGAGATTATATTGATGTGGATTGTATCTCGTATGTGTGTTGTGAATATTTGGGCAATGAGATCCCAACAGCTTATAATGATGCTAAGCCGAGTACTTTGAAGGAAATAATTAAGTAGCGTCAGCTAAAATGTTTCCAAAGCAAAAGATTATCTTTGAAAAATTAACTCTGATATTTTTTTAAAACTCGGGTTTTCCTTTTAAAAATAATAGGGCGTTACATAATGTCAAAACTATTGTTGTACAAGTTGGTAGGCACTCGCTAGGCGATGGGATAAGGCTCTAGGTGGGGTCGTAAAATATGAATACATGTATTTATATTCATCATTTTCTTTAATTAATTCACAAGGTATATCATATCATATAAAATATAATAATTAACATGGTCAAATTCAGTCATTGTGCAGAATAAAATATTTTTATAAGTTAAAACTATTTATCAATTTCTACATGATTATTTTTTTTTATCACATTGACTAGTGTATTTCAAATTATATCCCAAAGCAAATTTAAGAATGAAGAAAAAAGTGTGGGCGCTGCCTAGCCAGCCTAGACACCTAATTGTCCTAATGCCTAGAATGACCCCCAAAGACCATCTAAGCAACCGATTTTTAGAACATTGGTCAAAAGTATCTTCGATATCACGGTTGGTGAAGTAAGAAAATTTAGAATGCGTATGTACATTGAAAGTGATTGACAATCATAGAAGGAAACAAACATGTGATATGCTAAAGTATAGAAGATGCTGGTGGTACACCATACAAGTGCTGGGCATGCTCAGGAAAAGGATGGAGTACCACCAAAAAAAATTAGATTGTAAGGATTATGCTTTATCTCCAAGAACTCAGGATATGATATATATATATATATATAAGATAATGGATGGAATAGAATCTTTTCTATCCGCTATTAACCGTGTATCTCCCTTACCCTTAACTGTAGAAATCAAAGGCTAGGCTATCAAACGTCATATCACGATAAAAAGAAAAGAACCTTAGTGACACATGGAATATTCGTATTTCTACTAGCAAGGACACTTGCACTATGTAACTTATTATTTTCTATATCTATCTATAAGTCTCTTAAAAGAAGGGTCTTAAAAAGGAGAGTTGTTTCATGAAAAATTTTGAATTGCCAAAAGTACCCAACACTATAGCTACTTTCTAAGGTTATTAATGTAATATCATCATTAATGTTAGAGAGTTACAATTATTAATATTTACATGAACTTTCAATCAAATATTGTTCATTGTTCTATATTTTTGTTCTTTCTATCTAATTCAACTTTCATTATAATTTATGGTTTTATTGATATAGAGACATCAAGATTATTTAAGCAAATATAGAAATATAAAAAAAA